TTTTGGAACCTGAAATTGCCAACAAACTCGTGGTTGTTGCACATACACAAAAACACGCATTTACGGAGCTCCAACAAGTCCCAGGATTAAAGGAAAATGCGTTAGTTTGTTTACATACACTAAAGTTGTGACCACATCCGTTCCATATCCTGCATCACTTTGATCCGCGTACATTGCATGTAGGACAACCAAGTGAAATATAAGAAGTAGGGCCTTAGCTGACCATGTTTCTCGGTTTAGCTTTTTGGTGATTTTTCCGTGAATAATGGTCTCTCGCTCTGACGATGTTCGTCACAGGACGAAAGCAAGCTGAGCACTGAGTCATCGGGGACGCAGGGCGGTGATCTGACATCTTCCTCGCACATTTCAAAATAAAACAGTCCAGGACAACTGTCCTTCGGTATCAGGTGAGACCAATCTACGAAGCCCTTGCACGAAATGAAAGTTATGCCAGTATCAAGAACCAGAAGCCTTTTACATGCACACGAATAGGGTAGCGTTGTGAAAGGTCATAGTGACCGGCAGCACAGAGTCATACGATATATCCGAAAACGTGATCCCGTGAGAATGCACAACGGAGGACTAGTGAACAGACAAAACGCGAAAATTGATAACATGTAGACCAGCCGTCGGCCAGTGGGAACCGGGCACTGGGGCTCAGACAGAGGCTGGACGATGTAAGAACAAGGCCAAGTTGTTGGTTGATGGGAAGTTAATTTAGGGTTTCATCTTGTATGAAATGAGAAACAGCTCAGTCGTAGGACACCAGGTCTTCATATGCAAGCGGAACGAGTGAAAAGAGTTTGGTCTGGTTTTATGTAAGCCAAAAAGTAGATAAGCACAAAACTTGCCTGAAAACTAAGCAACTATATGGACGCCTTTCGCAGAAGGATCTTGATGTCAAGTCAGGGAAAAAACATCCGACAAGAGAGAGTAGGTGTCCAACACGTACCACGTCGTTCAGAGAACAAGTATGTTGAAAACCCGACCATAACGGGTCACCTAAAGTGTTCGGATTGTTTCGATTTGCACTTTATGCAG